ATAACAGTTTGTAGACTCCAGGTGCATTTATTGTAATAGGCCTATTTATTTTTTTATTCGTTCGTGTATGTGTGTGTGAAAGTTTATGGACATTAATAAACAATGATAAGTATTTTTTCCAACTGCAATGTTTTGACAACGGTGGATACAAGCCGAAACATGTAAACAACCTACTATTTGAGCTGTTTGTCGGATTATAAGGTATGTAAACCTATTTATCACATTGAATATATATACAGCTCAGGAGCTAGAATGGAAATGAATTATAACCAAATTACTTAAATTACAAATTACATCTATTTTTTACAAATGGTGTTTTTGCTCTCTCGGGGCATCAAAACGAAAAATAAAATAGGTCCCGGGTCTAGGTCTTTCAATGAGACCTACGGTAATAGCTTATTCCCTAAATGGAAAAGAGTATTCTAGCACAACTAAATAAAGAAGGTTTTGAGGTTTCTAGTCATAGTATGTCAGCTTACAACCCCTGATGTTGTTGACCTGCTATCACGAAAAATGACTAAGACTCTACTAACTCAAAAATAATAATATGAGGCAAGAAAAGGGTAGGAATTTATTGTAGAAAAACTCTATATATTTATAATAACGAAGCTATCTATAAAGCTGATGATTTATATAAAAAAAACTCCCAAAAAAATTAAAACGCTTATAAAAATTGTGGCTTTTGTTATGCCTATAATCCCGGTTATGTCACAAATCTATACTTATTTAATACGCAAGCATGTTTTTAGTGACAATTACTCCTCCAAAACTACTGAACCGATTGACATGTTTTTGGCGTCATTGGAAAGAGCGTACCGTGAAGTTGTGCAGGACTAACTTTATTTTTAGGTAAACTAGTGTACATGTTGCTCGAAATCGAGCAATTGCAAAGAAGTACAGGAGTTATTTAAAAACAAATGACTTGTTTAAAAAACTAATAACAGTCATAATTTCCAATAATTTTGAAAGAGTCGACTAAAAGATTATTAACTAATGGAAATACTCACAATTTACATAACAGTCCTACTCCAGTTTAAAGGGTTAATTTTTAACTATCAAACTACACATGGATGTGAAAAGGTAAGCTTACAATTTAAGTCAACGTCTTGTTATGCAGGAAACTTTCTTTTTAGGGAAATAATCAGAGAGTGAGGCCCTGGGGCCCTTTAAAGTTTCGTAAGATTAACATGGGAAACAAAAATTGTTATGCAACTCCAGCTGTTGTCAAAAATTAAAAGTAAGAAGAAAAACATATGTTAATTTTAAACAGTCAATAAATTTGCTAATTTTACAGTTTGCTACAAACATTTACTGACTTGGTTGAAATGAAATATTTACTACTGTATTTGAATTCGGGTTGGCGTAAATATTACAATGGAAAAAAGCGAGAGAGCCTGAATAAATTGACATATTCTGTTATGTACATCTTGAATATTTCCATAATCTTTGGATCGAATCCTTTAAAGTAATCAGAAATTATGAATGTTATTCCTTAAAAAAAACGCCTCTAATACTTAGAAATTGCTCGAATTCCAACAACAGGGACACTAGTATTGTTTCTTTTGCACCTGCTAGTATGTTGTGGTAAATGTACGATTTGTATATTTGTAAATATTTTTTTTTAAATTTAATGATTTATACTAAGTTATATAGTCTATTTTTATTGTTTTTATATTTTTGCACTGTTAGATAAAATGTATAGGTCAATAAATCCATTGCATTGTTCTTAATTATCTGTCATAGGCTATATCATCAAACAGTTTATTGCTCTTAATTCATCTTTATACAAATCTTGTTTTTTTTTTAATTCCGACTGTTATTGTTACACAAATTAAAAAAAAACTTTGAATTAGAATATTTATTTACTGATAGAGGAAATTTCTCACGCACGGACAGTAGCCTATGTGAGAGGGATTTCATATTTAATGACTATGTCAGTATATTATTACATAACTATGGCATAATTATAAAATATGTACTGACAAAGTATTGTAACATAGTATTTTACTTATTATATTTGATTATATTTGATAAACTACCTCCATGTGAAGTTTTATTTAGATCTTTTGAGTGGTTCCCGTGCGATTAAGTAGTAGACCTATACAAACACACATCCACCATATCATATTTACATATTTATTTAATAAATTGAAAAATAAAGCAAAGATAAGTAAATAGATTATATTTGGCTTTTACAAAATGATAAATATTCAAGAAAAATTGTTTGATTAAGTTACCACACATAACTCGAGTCTTTGCTAGCAGCTGGTAATTAGAGATGCTAAAACAGCATCTCCAGGTGGTACATATTACTATAACAAGAATAGGATTTGTTTATAAGCCATTAACACAGATTTGAACAAAACATTGTGTAGCATATTTAATGATTTTATGTATTCAATATTATAGTTGTAAAACAGCGTTTCTTGTAGGAAACCAGATTTGTATAAAATGTATGTATTCAATATTATAGTTGTAAAACAGCGTTTCTTGTAGGAAACCAGATTTGTATAAAATGTATGTTATACAAAAGATTCATGAAAAGGGATTCTTGGTAAAATAAAAGACATATAAGTCTTTCAACTATACAGGGTGTCCCGGAACTCTCTACCAATTTTTTAGGGCATTGCTCCTGGGTAAGAAACATACCTAAATATCATATTTAAATTGTCCGGAAGTCCTTAGTTACTCACATAGCCGCCATTTTGTTTTTTTTTAGTTATTAATTTTTTCTAAAGAATGCTTAAACATGTGAAATTGAAACTTTGCACAAACATTTATGACAACTAGACAAAGCTACAAAAAAATTATAACGATTTTTCAAATTCATAAAACAAAATGGCGGCCAATTAAAATCTTTATAAAATCAACGGTTTTTGAGCTATTTAAGAAACAAAATTTTAAATGGCCGCCATTTTGTTTTATGAATATGAAAAATCGTCATAATTTTTTTGTAGCTTTGTCTAGTTGTCATAAATGTTTGTGTAAAGTTTCCATTTTGTATGTTTAACCATTCTTTAGAAAAAAAATAATAACTGAAAAAAACAAAATGGCGGCTGTGTGAGTAACTAAGGACTTCCGGACAATTTAAATATTATATTTAGGTATGTTTCTTACCCAGGAGCAATGCCCTAAAATATTGGTAGAGAGTTCCGGGACACCCTGTATAAAACCATGTTGTACAAGTAAGCATGCAAAATGCACAGTGGGTTCATAGTGAACCCACTTACATTTTATCAATTTTTTCCAACATTTACAATAGTATCATCATTTCACATAATAATGCATTATAAGATATCACTAAGGAACAGAAAAAACATACTATACACACCTTCTTTTGTTATTTCGAGTAGTTTGAACCAAAAAAATTACAGCTTGACGTAGCAGCATGCTCAAGTAGCAGCAACTGTCACTAACAAGTGAGATTGCCCAGTAAAACAATGCGAATATTGACGTAGTACCTATATGAAAATCCGCTAGTAGAGTGAAGCTCTAGTCACTGCCTGATGGTGAGATTACACTTGTCCCACTGTGCAAGAACTAGTAATAAACGAAAAATAAGGTGGGATCACAGTGATCCCACCGTGCTCCAAAGGGAAACAACTAGAAAAAGTAGGGAGGCAATAATGAATGGATGGATAAATCACTGCTTGCACTATTTGAAGTTTAGCTGAAAACGGCAGTACAGACCTCAACCTCTGCAACTGTCTCAGCTTGCCAACAGCAACCCGACAGATACGCGACTCAGCTGCTCAGAAAATTTAAGAGAATCGTCTAGCTAGATAGACACTCAGGATTCTTAATGAGGAACAAAGTGATAAAGGCGTGTCATCCAATCATCCAAAGAAATTATCATATTACTCCTATTAGAATCCAATTTGCCCTGCAAAGAAGAATTACTGACATGCAAAACTGAGCACTTTAGACTGAGCACACAAGATCAGGAGATCTTTTATTTAAGGCATTAATAATATCCAACCGCTGAGGGATCACTCGTCAGTCTACCTTCTTTGGATCGTCGCGCATCATTAGTGATAAAGTTTTCCCTAGCATTCATCAAACTTTTTAGCGAATTTCCCATGTAATAATAATAATTAGCCAGAATAAGCCATAATAATAATAATAATATACTAATACGGGAATAAGCTATTACCGTAGTACCATATAGATCAAAATGTCAATCAATCAGTCCCTTAGGAGTATGTTTTATACATACTACCATAGATAAAACATGAGGAGTATGTTTTATCTATGATACTACATACATACATTCTTTAAACATACTAAGGAGTATGTTTTATTTATGGTGTTGTCTAGCGCCAGAAGTCCCATAAGATAACATGGCAGACAGGTGACACCAGCCACGGTCTACTTTAACTCGCCGGGGCCTTCGAAGTGGCAACATCACAAGTAGGATTGTAACAGCTGCTTTGTTTGGAGGCAGCTAATTGTAATTGGTGTATTTTTAGCGAATTTACCATTATAGGGAATAAGTTATTACCGTAGGTCTCATGGTAAGACCTGGACCCGGTACCGATTGACTTTTTATTTTTGAGGTCCCTAGAGGCCAAAAACACCATCCGTTCAAATTCATATATATATATATATATATATATATATATATATATATATATATATATGTGTGTGTGTGTGTGTGTGTGAATTTGAACGGATGGTGTTTTTGGCCTCTAGGGACCTCAAAACTAAAAAGTAAATTGGTCCCGGGTCCAGGTCTTACCATGACAACACTATGACAACACTATTCTACAAATGTACTTGCACCGTTGTCAATTCAACCAGGCCGCGGCCGTGCCCAAAGGCAGCCAACTCTCTCATTCAGTCTCAGTGCTGCCTCCACTCTCCCTCCAGTTGTATCTCTACTCTACTAGCTCAGTGGTCGTAACATACATATGAGCCCGATGACCCCTTTACTACTTACAGTATAGTGCCTTGATCATTTGAATGGTAACCCTTCAAGTTTTTTCCAAGAAGTGTTTTATCAAACAGCTGTTTATCACCTGAATGTTATCTGCTGACTGAGTAAACTAAACTTAAACTACATTGATATCTCTATCTCCATTCTATTCTCCTTCATAGATAAGTAGTATAATTTGGGGTAAGGATTTTAATGTTATTTTACTTTTAGCATTCGTTTTTATTCAATTATTACCAATCCAAATCGCAAAAATATTGTCGTTTTGACACTATTACCCTCTCAATAATCCACATTTCTACAATTTACCAAATACAATACTTACCAAATAATGTCCAGAGTTCAGGGGTAGGACATAGGGCCTTTAGCACTTAGCACTGATAATAATAGAATGGCTGGACCAAATTCGATGTCTCAAGGAAGCACGTTCATTCTATTACATTAAAATAATATTTGCCTTTTATAACTTTATTTCAGCTTTAAGTTTGCACTACCTAATCTTATCTATACATTCTAAGACTTTAAAATAGGTTGCCTAGTTGACAACCATATCCAGTACTTAACAGATTTCTAGGGCAATTTTTAATTTTTGCCCAAGCATAGCCGAGAGTACAATTATGCTGGATAAAAAAAAGTGTTAAACAAGTTATTAGTTCAATTAGGTAAAGTTTCTTAACTGGGCTTACCCTAATATATCGATTGAAAATATCAAATAAAAATATCGATTAAGTTAACTTAATAATCAATATTTCTAACCAAGTTACCTAAGTTAAGTTAAGTATATAATATCAAATAAAAAATGAAACTGTTAGGGAACTTGCAGGTACAGTTTCTTAACTGGGCTATGCTTATATCGATTGAAACTATTGATTCGATAAGTAAACCTTCATGCGATTTTTTCACTATCAGCAAGTTTGGTTGGTTAGGTTAGGTTATGATAGTTTAATTTAATAATTAGATATATTTAAAAATATTGATTATTAATGAATATTTTCAATTCGATAGTTTCAATCGATATTAGCATAACTTAGCCCAGTTAAGAAACTGTACCCCTTGCTGATAATAATGGAAAAATCCAATGAAGGTTTAACTTAGGCCTAGGTAACTTACTAATCGAATCAATATTTTCAATCGATATTAAATTAGAGTAGCCCAGTTTAGAAACTGTACCCCTTCAATTCATGATTCAGTTAGACTTAGAATCAAATGTACTAAGTTGGACACTTCAAAGGGCAATAAAATTCCTTCAGCTTAGCTGAGCTCCGCTAAAGAAAAATTAGGATGTAGTTTATTATTTTACGCCTACTTTTATAAACAACCTCCAGACTAAACTGAGTTTCCTTATGTACTGAACTTTTACAAGCAACTGTTCTAATCACATTTTTAGCTAAGTTTAAACAATGTTGTAGGCCTATCTCAAAATATCATAAGCCTATCATAAGTTATTTTCAGTGGCGGTTCCAAGGGGGGGGGCTACAGGGGCTAAAGCCCCCCTTAGACCCTGGAAAAATAAATTTAAACGTACATTTCGTCCTTAAAACACGCAATGTCATAAAACAGACATCATCAAAGTAGTTTTTATTAAACTTAATAAGCGATGGTAGGAGTATTATTAGGTTCCACCTAGGCCTAGATAAACTTTGTGGACAATAGCACAACGAATAAAACAATATATTACACTATGGAAAGTTGTACGCGTCATCCAATTTTTACAGCAGTCAGCTGTTGACATGTTAGGCAAAGAAGAGCGCGCGAGCGAGGACGGGAAAACAGCTGCTTTCCCGATGTTCCATAGTTCGTTGTAAAATTGTCTGCTAGCCACTAACTTTACACAGTCATCAATCAGCAATCAGCGGTAGCCCCAGTAGCCTATTACCATTGACTATAGAAGTTAAACACTATTGTTAAAGTTTATATAGTCAATGCTATTAGCCTACTGAATTTGATACTATAGCCTACATATTATGACAGATCTATGAAATGGAGAAAAATGTAAGGTTAAACAACGTGTCTACTTGCATGCATAGCATAACAGGTGAAATGGAAGGTTTTAGGACAATTGGGCACAGTTCTAGCCGTTAGAAATGGATTTGTAAAGTCACCATACGGCTTTTAGGAGATATGGCTTCGTAGTCTACAGTAGGTCTATGTTTTGAAATTCATGAATGCAAGTTCGTCATAGTTTGATTTTTAAAATGTCTACTTGCTCATGACAAAGACAAATAACAGGTGAAATGGGAGGCTTTTGGACAGTTGGACACAGATATAGACATTAAAAATGGTTTTAGAAAGTCAGTAAGGAGGATATGGCCGAAGCCTACATATATGTTTTGAGATTTATTAATGCAATCGTCATAGTTAGTTTTAAAAATGTCTACTTATTCATGACAAATAAATGGGGAAATGGGAGGTTTTGCACACAGTTCTAGACGTTAAAACTGGCTGTAGAAAGTCCCCCAATGGCTTTTAGGAGGATATGGCTGTAGTCTACAGTGTGTTTTAAAATTCATGAATGCAATCATCATAGTTTAATTGAGCGGAGCGAGCGAAGCTCTTATACGTCGACTCTTATGCATTTCGTAATACGCAAACTCCTCCTAGACGGCTGAATCAATCGTTTTCAAATTTTGCATAGTGATAAAGACCATATCGGTGAGTGCCAACATCTATATGTCGTTAAATAAGTCTCTCAGGAATCCGCCCCACTGGGTCACAAAGTTTCAATGTAATCCTTATGAAAGCAGTATTTGACGCATAAACAAAGACATATGATCAGCTGTTGACTTTTGAATGCAGTAGATAAAGAAATAGCTGATAGCATTAATTCACAGATATTAGAACAGAAACTGTATGGATCATAAATATAATCAAATTACGACACTAGCTTGAAGTCTGTGACGTAGGAAGTGGTGAAGGAAGTAGTAAAGGTGAGCAGTCTGGAGTGTGGAAACTGTTTGTGACGATTAGATTTAGGTATCAGCAATCCTAAAATGATATGGGAAGGGAGGAAAACGGGTCCGCGACGTAGGAAGTGGTAAAGGAAGTAGTCAAGGCGAGCTGTCCGGAGTGTGGGTACTGTTTATGACGATTAAATTAAGGTATCTGCATTCCTAAAATTCTATGGGAAGGGAGGAAAACGGGTCCGCGACGTAGGAATTGGTGAAGGAAGTAGTCAAGGCGAGCTGTCCGGAGTGTGGAAACTGTTTATGACAATTAGATTAAGGTATCTGCATTCTTAAAATGATATGGGAAGGGAGGAAAACGGGTCCGCGACGTAGGAAGTGGTGAAGAAAGTAGTCAAGGCGAGCTGTCCGGAGTTATGGGTACTGTTTATGACGATTAGATTAAGGTATCTGCAATCATAAAATTTTATGGGAAGGGAGGAAAACGGGTCCGCGACGTAGGAATTGGTGAAGGTAGTAGTCAAGGCGAGCTGTCCGGAGTGTGGAAACTGTTTATGACAATTAGATTAAGGTATCTGCATTCCTAAAATGATATGGGAAGGGAGGAAAACGGGTCTGCGACGTAGGAAGTGGTGAAGGAAGTAGTCAAGGCGACCTGTCCGGAGTGTGGGTACTGTTTATGACGATTCGATTAAGGTATCTGCATTCCTAAAATTTTATGGGAAGGGAGGAAAACAGGTCCGCGACATAGGAAGTGGTGAAGGAAATAGTCAAGGCGAGCTGTCCGGAGTGTGGAAACTGTTTATCGCAATTAGATTAAGTTATCTGCAATCCTAAAATGCTATGGAAAGGGAGGGAAATAGGTCCGTGACGTAGGAAGTGGTGGAGGAAGTAGTAAAGGCGAGATGTCCGGTGTGTGGAAACTGTTTATGACGATTAGATTAAGGTATCTGCAATCCTAAAATGCTATGGAAAAGGAGGGAAACAGGTCCGTGACGTAGGCAGTGGTGAAGGAAATAGTAAAGGCGAGTTGTTCGGAGTGTGAGATCTGTTTATGAACAATAGATTAAGGTATTTGCAATCCAATAATGCTAAGGGGAGGAAGGGAAACAGTTCCGAGACGTAGGAAGTGGTGAAGGAAGTAGTCAAGGCGAGTAGTCCAGAGTGTGGGAACTGTTTTTGACGATTAGATTAAGGTATCTACAATCTTAAAATTCTATGGGAAGAGAGGGAAACAGGTCCGCGACGTAAGAAGAGGTTAAGGAAGTAGTCAGGTGAGCAGTATGGAGTGTGAGAACTGGAAACCGTCTGTAGCAGTTAGATTAATGTATTTGCAATGCTGAAATGCTATGAGAAGGGATGGAAGCACGACATAGAAAATGGTGAAAGAAGTAGTAAAGGCTAGCAGTGCGGAGTGTGGTCAATGTTTGTGGCAGTTAGATTAACGTATCTAAAATACTAAAATGCTATGGAAAGTTATGAAAACAGGTCCACGATGTAGGACGTGGCTCAGGAAGTAGTAAAGTATGAGCATAGTGTGAGAACCGTCTGTAGCAGTTATATTAATGTATCTTCAATCCTAAAATGCTATGAGAAGGGAAGGAAACAGGCCCCACGACGTAGGAAGTGGTGAAGGCAGTAGTAAAGGCTAGCAGTGCAGAGTGGGGGAACCGTTTGGGCAGTTAGATAAATGTACCTAGTACTTGAATGCTATGAGAAGGGAAGGAAACAGGTCTATGACGTAGGATATGGTGAAGGAAGTAGTAAGGCTTGCAGTGCAGAGTGTGGGAATTAAAACACACAGTTTGTCTTTCACACAGTTGTTCTTTCAGTTTGTCTTTGGCAATTACATTAATGTATCTGCAATCCTAAAATGCTATGGGAAGAGAGGGAAACAGGTCCACGACGTAGGGGGTGGTGAAGGAAGTAGTAAAGGTGAGCAGTGTTGAGTGTGGGAATGGATTAATGTATCTGCAACGCTAAAATACTATAGGAAGAAACTGTAGACTGTAGGTTAAAATGATTACGAAGCACGAATCGATACATATTTCGATACATGCAACCGTTTACAATAGAAATTTACAACTGAGTAGACAACAGCTGATTTTTACTCCATAGAGGCTAAAAACGATGTTTACTCTATAGACGCTAAAAACGATTTTTACTCCCTAATGAGTAAAAATGCTACTTTAGACCCGCAACGCATGCATTAAAAACGACTGTTTTTACTGCAGTATGACAAAAACAATATAATATGAACCCTTGATGGCTCCGCTCAAT